TGTATTTGTAAAATCCATAGTTTTGAATACATTGTTCTTAAAGCAAATACAAGAATTATCAACTAGCATGTGCTCTTGGGAACAATACTGCTTTTTGCTACATGATTTTACTAGCAAACTTCTTTAGAAGCAAATGTTTGATTTGTTTAATAAATAATTTTAAAGCGGACAAGGTCTGCTCTGAGCTAGTCTTTCTTCCTTCTCCTCTTCCCGTTTCCTTCAGAGATCTGTCTCTTAACCAAGATAAATTTCTCAATGTTTTCCCAAAGAGCTGTCTTTACTACAGTTTCTCAGGTAAGCGGCATAGCTCTGAGAGTTACAGTCTCCCATTTTGTCCCTTGAGAAAAAGTCCTTGTGAACAGTGAGGTTATGCATCACCATAGAGGGGAGAAAAAGACAATACAGCATAAGCACAGCATGTTGGTCCTCAAAAAGAAAGCAGAGCAACCCATGTAGTTTATTTTGTCCTAACCAAGTTATTATTTTCCTCCAGGAAAGTTAAAAAAGTTGAACTTAACTTTGAACTTCCTTTTGCATTTGCCTTGCATAGTTTTGATTCCGGTGTAGATGGTGTTCAGTCAAACAGGGCATTTACAATGTTTTAAACACCTTACCTTTTACTTCCAGTTTGCAATCAACTTCTGCCTCTCCAAGTGCATTGACTGCTCGGCAGGTGTAAGTGCCTCCATCATAGGGACTGGGTTTGCGGATCTCCAAAGTACAGACACCTTGGTTGCTGAACATTCGGTACCTTGGGTCGTTCATTATAATGACTTTGTTTTTCATCCAGGTTATTTTGGGCTGTGGTAAAGAAAAAAGAAAGCCCACGTGCACAAATCTGGGAACTAAAATATTTTACCACATAAAACCATAAACACAGGCTGCATCATGCATATGTTTTTAAGCATGATTTTTTCAGTGCAGCTCCTATCACATAATTATAGTCATAAATATAACCCTGTTATCAATATAAGAGGTGCTGTGTAATAATAGTAAACATCTGAGCAGTAGCTTTTGACATTCAATTACTCTAAGTCAATAAGAAAAGCATGTTTTTCACAGTAATTTGCACAGTCAGAAACTGAAGGTGATCAGTGAACAGCAAGTGTTCTTAAACACTCTTGAGTTCTCATTTTACTAGGTCAGTTCATTTTCTCACAACAGAAAATAGAACACAAAAAGACACAATTCAAAAGAAACTGGGAGATGCATTGTACAATGGGGCTGAGAACCAGCGTGGTCCCCAAAGTATTCCTTAACGTGCTTCCTTAAAGCATAATTAGCTTTTTATAAAATAATTATGGCTTTATTTTAATTACAACCTTTACTGATATATTAACTGTACAGCTGTTGTCAGTGCTGGTCCCAGTATAGCCCAGCCTTTTCCTGACGTTCTGCCCTTTCACTGTGTTGTCTGTGGATTTAGTAACTATTATAATGCCTATAACACAGGTAAGTAGGTCCTTTTTTGTATTCTTTAGAGCTTTTTTGCTTTCAGCCTGGCTTGTGAGCAGGACAAATACTAAAAATGGTATCACAGTTTTTATTGTCAGGATAAACTCTCTCATGTTTTAACTGATACTGTTATGAGCTATGCTGTACCTTGGGATTGCCCCGAACACTGCAGTTCAAAGTAGCGTTGTAACCAGCTATAGCAAATGTGTTGACTAGAGGCTGAGTAAACAACGGCCGTTCACTGAAGTCAAAATCATCGTAAACTGGATATTTGTAGACTTTGCCTATGAAAGGAAAATAAAACATTTATAAAAAGAGTGTTGGCACATAGCTAAATACCCAAGCATCTTGAACAGCTACAAAGAGTCAGTTCTGATCTGCACTACTTTAGGTACGAATGTGACTCTAGTAATTGCACTTGTCAGGGAGGCTGGAAGTGAGCCTGCAAAGTGACTATAGCCTTTGGTCATTCTGTAGCATAAATGTCTGACAGCTTCTCTTTGTTTCCTGAGTAGGTGGTATACAAAATAGTACACATTTATTCTGTGATCCTGACTGATGTGCTGCAGGATGCCTGCCTTGACAAACCTTGTTCACTGTCTTGCCAATTACTTTTCACAGTTTGTTCTCATTACAAACTGGCTCTGAAAATCCATTTTTCTTTCTGCTTCATGCAGTGCACAACAACTACAACTACCTGAATGGATGTAGTTTCTGTACATGGAAAATATGGTAGTAAAATCTAGTTTCTCACTGCTACTTTATACCTGCTCTGTAATGGAGATTACCATCAGTAAATCATCTTCACCCACAAACTAAACTGGCATTTAAAACAGTTGGACAGACTGACATCTATTCCTGTGCACAGGTATCACTAAAGGTCTTTGCTTCACTGAAACTTGATCTGAGCACTCATACTGACTTCAGTGCAGCTTAGGCCTGATACTTGCTCTCATGATGAAGGCAAGTAAGGAGTGATGAAAAGCAATTCCTATAGTCATTATTTTGTTCATGATCCCATTTCTAAAAGAAAAAACTCTTCTAAAAGAGTTTTCTTTTCAATCATGAAAGCGGAGTCCAGTACCTTGCACCTTCAGTCCTTCTGCCTGGCTGTGTGGGTTGTACAAATTGTCTGTCCTCTGAATCATGGCACTCCTTCCTTTCAGACAGCCTGAGGTGATCTGGTTTGATTTTCTTCCCTTAAATCACCTGTTTGAGTTTCCCTTCCATAAAGGGGCAGTTAATTATTTTTATTTTTTTTTAAGTTTACAGTACCATTTCAAACTGACAGTTTCTGCAGTGTCAGGATTTCTGACCACAGAATCAGAAATTGTCCAGCTCCACCTGCAACAGATGTGTAGCAGGGGATAAGCTTATCTGTTGTGTCCTGCCTGAAATGGATGGGAGCACTTGTACAGCTGATGCCAAGGATCTACTAGGAGGCAGTGACCACTCCTTCTAACAGAACAGCTTCTTTACTCCTCTTCCAGCTCTTGTTGACTTAGATCTGTCAGTAGTGACATGAGCCTGAGATCCAAGATCGTAGAAAATGTCAGAACATGGGAAAAATGTCCCACTCTTGATTTAAAAATGCCCAACTATGAACTATGTGGACAAGAAGTCCTAGTATGAAATGTCCTAGCTGTTACTTGTACCTCATCTTGGGGCTAGGAATTTGTCTGAATGCTTTAGAGGTATGGCCTTTACCTCTAATCACCTTCCAGCCTCTGACCACCCCCTTCCCTTTTGACAAGAAATGGATAATTAGCTAACCATCCTTTGCAATCAAAGCACTCTCTTTGGTCATCGTTGCATCCTCACTGAGGCCACATATGTTTTCAGCGAAGATCCGGAAGTAGTACTCATTTCCGATGACGAGCTCATTAATGGTGGCACTGGTGCGGTGATAGTGCTCCATTACTGTGAACCATTCCTGAGACACACAAACACAAAGAGTAAGTCTCCCTGCAGTGCCCTGCGCCTCTCAGCCATTGACTGTTGGAAGAATCATCAAGCTTGTGGGAGGAAGATTTTTATTTGAAGGGAACGTTAGTGAATACTAAAATAGTGAAGCTAACAATAATTAATGAAATGAGTGATGATGAGAACACAAGAGAGGTCACTGCTGAGCAATGAATGCCAAATGGAGAGTGAACCCTACTGAATTGTTACGCTCTGTTAGCTGGGAGGGTTCATTTCAGGAAATCCAATATTACAAAGATTGTATTGTGTGAGGCAAGGCAGACTCCTTCATTCCTAGTCCATGCTGCTGACAGAGAAGGTACTGCTGCAGATAAGGAAACAGCAGGCTGGAGGGGAAAATAGCAGCATGTACTGGTCTGCAGTAACACATACTTACAAGAGGCCAATGCAATAATCTACCCCCTATTCCACAGGTGGAGTGTTCATGAGATGTAATTTTATGCAAGTGGTCCTCTGATATCTGAAGGCTCAGATGGGGAAGTGAGTTTTAGCGCTTTAGTCTTGCAGCAGTAACAGGACATGTGAATTCTATCCTAGTACACTATACCTAAATAACAAACTGAGATGAAAGAGGTCAATGCTAAAAATGTAATTAATATAAAGTGCAATATGAACACCACAATGTTTTTTTGGTTTTCTTTACTCTGTCCTACATAGTTTTCTTGCTTGTCTAAAGATGAACTTGGGCTGAGTTCCCTGTGCCACAGTTTGTGTTGATGTTTAGTCATCTTTAAGACCCAAAGTGCCTTTTGGGAAAACAGTTTTCTGTAGAAGACCAGCTGTGACAGAATTGCAAAATTCACCACCACAGAGAATGTGGGGAAACTATGGCCTGAATGATCCATGACATACTGGACCCTAGACACTGCTGCTGTTGCTTTCCCCTTAAAACAGTAATTTAGAGACAGGGGATGTCATTCTTAGAGTCTGAAGAGAAAGAAAAAAAAAAATGAAGGATGGGAAGGGAAATAGTAGCACAGGAAGAATGAATCATGTAGATCAACATATTAAAGCAGGGGGTGGGGAGTGGCAGCAGGAAAAAGATGCCCTTAGATAAGGCAGCTCCCAAAATATTGTCCTAGATTTCCAGTGTTTAAATTTGCAGTGTCTTAAATGTAAGAATCCAACTACTGTCTTTTAAGGAAGTGTAAAATTCATGTTGGTTCAATGAAAACAATCAACATGTCTATATTGCAGTTTTCATCTGTAAATCTCAAAGCAGTTTACTAATTACATATGTAGTAAAGGAGTGGCAATGACATACACAATGTGACGTCACAAGTTTGAAAACAACAGCACTACATTTTTGTTCTAGTAGCAACCTGCTGACTTCAGAGTTAATATTATGGGGTTTAATTTTCTCTACTGAAACAAAGCTAAAAAAGCAGAATTACTTCTCTCAAAACCACCCGTACTTTCCTATTTAGCCCTTCTCTTTGGCATGATCTGAAAACATTTCCATTTCTAGGCTTTAGATACAGTGAACAGAAGGTTTTTGGAGGCTTTTTAAGATTTTTTAGAGATACCTTGCAGATTTTCGAACACTGACTAATCAATGCTTTGTCCACCTATATCGATTTAAGCATGTAAGGCTTTTTATTTTTAAAAGGGAGATTCCATGAGCACATCAGCCTTTTAGACATCTCCTTATTACTTACCATACTCTTCTTATCTGCTTTTTGAATAGTGTACCCAGTAATGGCAGCGTTGCCATCATCTTTTGGTGGCTTCCATGATAAATTTACATTCTCTCCCCAGACATCCTCAATAGTTACAACCTCTGGTGGGCCTGGGCGATCTGTAATGAAATATGGCAGCTGAAATTCTCCACTGTTTGCTTTCTCTAGCTCTCTTTCCTACACACATCTTCCACTTAGTGTGATTTCTCTCTTTCTTACAACATGCACATGCCAAAACCAACTTCAAAAGAAAGCTGGGGTTGCAAAATAAAACTTTCCAAAGTTAAGTCATGTTGGAATTATGAAAAACTTAACTTGACCACTTTGTGAGTGTGGTTTCTAATAGGCATATGCTCTTTAATTGCATAAGGACATGATATTTTGGAAAAGCTAAAACCAGTTGAGCATGTGTTCCTAAAAGACAGTCGGACAATCATAAAAGCTGTGCTGCCAGTTTTGCCTATTATGTAAAGAAATAGATTCATAAAAACAAAAAGTAAATGTGTTTTCTTGTCTGTCTTTCCTACTTCCTTGTACTTTCAACATTTAAGATTTCTTCCACATTACACTTGTGACAAAGTCACTGTGAATTTCTGACTATGGATACCACTCAAAGGGATAAAGCTTGCATCCTGGATGGACAAGAACATGAAAAGCACAACAGTGAAAAAAAGAGACTGACATGTTTCAACAAGCAGCTGCTATTGTGTAGGGAGGTTTGCTTAGAGACCATAAATCTATAGCCAAGTAATAGGACATGGAGAGTTATCACTGTCAAGAAAGATGCTCTTTGGGATTCCTGTGTTTTCCTATAGCCTTGGAATGGCTGACATCTGCTTCTCTGGCATGCATTTATTTCTGTTTCTTAAAACATACCAACAATCTGAATGTCAATTGTAGCTTTGTCCTCCAAGTTCTCTACTTCGACTTTCATGTTATATTCTCCAGAGTGGTTCCTTTCTGCCTTTCGGATGAAGATGATAGTGTCATTTTCGGTGTTGCGGATGTTGATTTGGTTCTTGTCAATTGGAGAACCATTTTTCTGCCATGATACTTTTGCCCTTGGTCTTCCCTGTAAGAAGCCAGGAAACAATTTGCATATGATTTAGAGAGAGAAAAGGGTGGGAGAGAGAATGTGTGTATTTCCCATTTTAACCAAATGAGGAAAAAAAACTATCCTGAAAGAAACTGAGAATTCTTTTTTTTAAAATCATTCAGCGGTTGAGATGCAATCATGTAAATTCACTTAAAATGCAGCTTGCTTTCTTTGACTTTCAGCGTTTTTTTTCAGGTTTTTTTGCAAATTCTGGCTAAATTGGCTAGATAATCTTCTGGCTAAATTTTACAATTATTTTCCAATTTTCTAAAAGAAAAAAGAGAGAAAAACAGAAAATGCAGAACAAAATATTTCACCCTCTGGAAGTGCCTACATTCTCTACACTGCTAGTGAAAGACGAAAGTATTGGACTAAAATCCAGGGATCCCAAACTCTGTTTTTTCATTGCAAAAGCAGTGGGAATAGTTGCTAGATAGGCTGAATTGACATCTTTTGTGTGCCATTTTTATAGGCCTAGTAGTGCCTGATTTAGGTGATTAAATTAGAGTGAATTCCACCTGTTTTACTATGGGATTTGCCTTTCCAAGGCAAACCATTTGCACATCCTGTCCAAAAAGGGTAATCTCACAACTTTTTGAATGCTGTAGCTTAGAGAATAACTGTAGAATATTCCTTTAATTTCTCAAGAGCAGTGTATCTTGCAGTGTATTGCTCATCAAGATTTTATTAGGCTTTTAACAGCCTTGTAGAAACTGGATTATTCCCTCCCAGTGTCTTTAGGTGTGCAGATACAAAGTAGAAATGAATTCTCGTGTAATTCTTGTATTCAGAAGAATAAGGACCCTGCAGGTAGAGAGGCAGTTGTAAAAGGTATGAGGATGAAGGTTAACATTCTGCTGTGGTAAAACATGCTATATCCTTAGAAATAGTCATATTATAGCTGTGATCTCAAGGAGTTAAAATTTGCATTTTTTCATTGGAGACAATGAAACTCTGCCTATGCTTCCCTTCCTTTTTCCTCTCTCATGACAAGAAAATTATTAAAAGCTACAGTCCCACCCTTGATACCCTATCTAACTACTGCTGGTGGGCAGCACATATTTTGCATTGTGCTACTGATTATCTCGCATGTAATGTCTACTGTGAGGATTTAAGTGTCCTTTGGATGACAAATGGTAAATCAGTCTGTCTAAGCTAGTTACCCAATTCATTAATTGGCTTAACATCATTTCTTTGAGACGTCAAAGCAAAAGCTTTCAAGCACCTATGTACTTCAGCATGCTTCCACATCTGCTTAAGTTAACTTACTGGCCTACCAAAGTTACATGGAAATAAGTTAAAAAGCAGCAGTATAAGAAAAATTTTCCTGTCAGTGTTTTTAGTTCTTACCTGGAAAGGAATAACAAGATTCACAGTTTCTCCAACTCTTCGAGTATAGGTTTGTTTTAAGTGTCTTGGTAGACGAATCTTTGGAGGTTCTGAAAAAAGCCAAAAGCTTGTGTTTGACATTTATCTTTTTTTCTAACTGAGGCATCACTGTGGGCATCAGTATAAATGGGAGACTGTGTAGTCTACAATTCCCAGAAGTGATTAATGAGTGAAGTAAATTTCTTGGTCCCACAACGTTACATTCAGTACACCATCAATTTTTGTAACATCAATACTATGGTGGCAGGAATAGGTGAGAAACTTGGCACAACTTAAAAAAAAGCAACATCAAGTTCCACAGAAAAGAAGCCTTGAAATCCTGAGCAATAAAGGCTTAGAAATGAAACAAATAAAAAGAATTAGGAATTTTTTAAAAACCAGTTTAGTGATTTCTAGCCACTGCACAATGGCTTTGTAAAGCCATAGCATCAGTTTCCAACAAGTAAGCATTAACCTTAAAATCCAGAACTGAATATGGAAGCAGAATGTATTTGTGGGTGAGCGTAGGCAGGAGGATCTTACCTACTACTTCCTTGACTAAAATGGGCTGTGGGTGGTACCTGGGCTCACTTTCACCAGCAGCATTCACAGCTTTTACTCTCACAAGGATTTTTGAGCCAGTGGGCAGGCCATTGATAGTAAACCTCGTTTTGTCTGTCAGCTCCGGGTTAGCCACGATCCACTGATCAGCTAGTTTAGGGACAAGAGGAGGGGAGGACGAATCAAAAGAATGAGGAATTATAAATACATCCACTGCACAGATGAAGAAAATTACAGAACAGTAATAGATTCATTATATTCTAATGAATATTTCTATTTTGTTTTTCTAATTATGCTATAAAATTATATCGATTCACTTTCATATGTAGGAAGAATGTTTCAAACCTTAAAGGGTTTCTACTGATTATATATTTATATTTAGAGAAATAAATATTTTTAGAATGTCTATCATTTAATTGTACCAGAGAGAAAACTGATGAGTTTTTAAATTCAGCTGATAGAAAACAAGGGGGACAGAGTATATTTCCAAAAGTACTCATCATTGCTTTAACAGCTTCCTTGGAGAGAAATGGGTTTTACACAAAATCACAGAATGTCAGGGATTGGAAGGGTCCTCAAAGAAGCATCTAGTCCAATCCCCCTGCCGGAGCAGGAACACCTAAATGAGATCACACAAGAAGGTGTCCAGGTGGGTCTTGAATGTCTCCAGAGAAGGAGACTCCACAACCTCCCTGGGCAGCCTGTTCCAGTGCTCTGTCACCCTCACTGTAAAGAAGTTTCTTCTCAAGTTTAAGCGGAACCTCCTGTGTTCCAGCTTACACCCATTGCCCCTTTTCCTACCATTGGGCATCACTGAAAAGACCCTGGCTCCATCCTCCTGACATTCACCCTTTACATATTTATAAACATATGTCAGTCTCCTCTTCTCCAAGCTAAAGAGCCCCAGCTCCCTCAGCCTTTCCTCATAAGGGAGTTGCTCCACTCCCTTAATCATCTTGGTGGCTCTGTGCTGGACTCTCTCAAGCAGTTCCCTGTCCTTCTTGAACTGTGGGGCCCAGAACTGGACACAATATTCCAATTAATTTCAACCAGTACTGAGTGACCTTGAAAGTACCACTGAGAGTGCAGGGATGAGAGAAACAGAATATTTACAAATTGCAGTGAAATGCCATCTCTCCTCATGCCTTTAATAAAGGAAGGCTGTGTCAGAATTATTCACATAATTACAGCAGTCTCGGATTTTTTATCCTATCCCTAGGCAGTCGCATCTAATCCATAGAGTGATCATAACAGTACAGTCCTTCAGAAAATCTTCAATTATAAATGATACTTTTTTTTTTCCACCCTGTCTCCAAACATAGATTGCGTTAACACTGCTGGCACCTTGACATTTGGAGTTAGATTTATACAGTAGCAAGTCAGTATCAATACTTTCCACATCATATAAAGATAGCACAGAAGACAAGAACTATCATAAACTAGAGAGCCCTGCAGACTTAGAGTGCAATACTGTGGTACATTTTCATAACTGTGTGTCTTACTTTTAGGAATTAAGTTCTCCTTCAAGCTGCTTCTTTCAGCTTCTAGCAGAAGAGGATTGCAATCAATTACTGTTTTCCAGGCACCTCCCCCTCCCCTTATACAGGCACTACAGCAATTTCTGTAGACTGTTGCCTCTAAAATTCACTCTCAGAGATTTATCTTTACTTTATGAAGAGAGTTTTTCTTTTGATAAAGAAGATTTATATCCTTTGTTGAATACTGTACCTTCCGGGTTAAAAGGTGGCTCCACCAATTCCTCAGACTGATCTGTCGATATACCTTGTGAGAATCCATCTTTAAAATTAATCAGAGACACCCACTTTCACACAGATGGAGCATTTTGTCAGTGGTTAGCAATTCCTGTTAGTAAGTATGCAAAGATAGATGCTGGGCTTTAAAGATTTAGAGGACCTGTATTTAGGGAGACCGCAGGGAGGAAAGAGATGGGAAGAGGGCACCTAGATCAAAGAACAGTTATGCATGATGCTCACAGGAAAGCTAAAGGGTAAAGGGAGAGGAGGAGATAAGGTTGTTTTTTTTTCTTTGGGCCTGATCACAGCCCTGGAGAGATGAAAAGAAAGAGACAAAGGAAAATTTGGAAGAGAGAAATTAAAGAAAATTACGATGGAAGAAAGTGCAGGAGGAGCAGAAAATGCATCATAGAAGAGAGAAGAAATTCAGAGAAGAATTCGAGTAAGAGATACAGAAAAAGAGAAGTCTTGGAAAAAAACTTGAGGAAACAGAGGAAGAGAACACATTTAGCTAAAGGCAACATATAAAGAAGGCCAAAACCATGAATGATGACACATATGATGTAATCACACTAAGGCTTTATTTCCTGGACAAAGCTATCATTTCCCTGGATTTCCTGGACTTGGCTGGTTTTTGATAATAAAAATACTAATCTAGTATCTGTGCATGGTCCTGTATGGGTGCACTGGCAAGGACCTCAGCCAACAGAGACTCTCGGAAGTTATTATTTACTATGAAAACAGATCATCTGCCAGTACAATGGCCCTTTAAAGGCCGATAAACATTGTGTTCTAGGGAAAGCTGGGGCCAAGCTCATCAGACTACCCTCGAAATGTCACACAAGAACCAGTCGCAGCATACATTACTAGGAATTGACCTCTCCAGTGTCAACAAGATTTGGTCTACTCCATATCACCACAGCAAGAGGTTCAAGTTGGATGTTGTAAACTAGCCCCAGGGAGTTCTATATTCACGTTATTCACACCTATGCAATGCTGGATCCAGATACTCATTATGAGACTCCAGTTCAGTAATATACACAGAGAGCTGTTAAAGGTGCTACTATAGTTAAGGAAGTCCAAGAGTCCACGATGTTGATCAAGTTAAAAGGTTCAAACTGAAGGTGAATACCAATTTTCATGAAGCCAAACCAATTCTCATGGTACATGATTTTTCTAATTTATAATTTTATATATATAATTTTGTCTTCCTAGTTTTAGCTTGTGATTTCTCCTAATGATTCCTATGATAAGGAAGGCTCAAAAAAGCCCTCCTTAAAACATCAGTGACAACAACGAAAGAATGGAGAAAGTATGACTTTACAAATAGACAACTGAAATAACAACATAATGAATCTAGACAGTCATAAAAAATACCTTGAAATTAAAAAGTTATTAAACATTACAGAAGAAATTAGTTTGAGGCAGAACAGGCACTGAAAGGACTGAGAAAAGGAGGCACTGCGATATTGCAAGAAGGAAAAAAAAGGACTGAACACAGAGAAAAGGATGTATATTCTAATAACATGTCTTTTTTAATTGGTATTTTCTACTAAGCTTGTTTCTTCCTAGCTATTTTGATAACATATATACATAAATAATGTCAATTGTGTATATATAGATGTATATGCATATATAGGAGGCATATATAGATATACATAACCACTCAGAAAGCTATGTAAAATACATTGTACTCATTGTATTTTAACTGAGGTGTAACAATAAAATGACAGACTTGACTGCCATTTTGTTGTATCTTCATATGTTTTAAACCTATCTGAAAAAAAAAAAAAAAAAAAGAGTAAAGAATTTGTTCCATTCAACAGGTATACAATGGTCTTCTGTGTAATAATCCTTAAAAGACAGATTTGGCAGATTCCTCTGAAAACCATAGTTTGCATTATTGTATACATATTTCTCAACCTCTCTTGTCACCCAATTTGGATATCACATACTGTAATGTCAAGGGTTTTACGACAGTAGCATATTACAAGCTCTTTTAACTTTTGCTCCGCCATGCGACCAATGCTACAGATCGCATTGACAGTCCCCTTTATATTCCCATAAAACTTGCCTGTCCAATGGAAACATTATAAGAAAGCTGCATCTTGATGTAAGACTGCATACTTACTCGTTCTGAGCTGTTCCTGCAGCTCCCTCCCAATATACAAGGAAAGCCCTTCCTACCATTCCAGCTGTGTCTGCCTTCAGGTAGTCTTCTCCAGACCTCTGAACTTCTTCCAGTCTGTTCTTGCTCCTTACAGATATTCAGCTCAATACTACAAGATGCTGAGTGCTCCTGAGAGAAGCCAGTGGTTCTTCTTTGCTCCCTTTCCCACTCACTGGGAGAGTGAGAGCTGAGGGCACTCTATTCCTGAGGTATCTGACCACTTTTGTGAACTACTGTTTTCGTGGATTGTCTGAATCTGAAACACGTGACAGGGTGAATGACAAGTTCCGTCCTCTGCCTCTTGTCTCCAGGCTGTGGACTGCAGTCATGAAAACTTTTCATCGAAATAAATGCCTTTATGAAAAAAGGTGTCCAACTCATCTCTTGATTTACAGTGCAGTTAAGAGCAGCAGCTAGTGGAGCTGAAGAGAACTGTGTCCCGTTCATCCAAATACACAACATTGTTTGAATCCTACTGATTGACGTTTACCCCCAGAGGCTGGGTATCACACATAGTACTCCAGGCTGTTATTTGATACTTACCCAGGTGTTGGTGGATATTACTTTTTGAAAATAGACTTCATGTGATGCCAATTCAGAATAAAATGTGCTGGAAAAAACTAAGTTTCTGCTACTTGATCACCAAAGACTCTTAGTTGTAAAATATAAATTATATGTCCCTATTCTTTGTTATTTTACTCTCATAAGTTTATTCAGTCTCTTACATCTTTATCTTTCTCCTTCAGTTCTGTGTAGATTTATGTCTTAGATGAGCATAGTTAAAGACCCTGTATCTAACTGCACTGAAATGTGGGAGAAATTAAGTATCCAGACATGAACTTTCCATGCCTAAATAACTTCCAGAGCCAGCTATTGGAGGGGCTGTCTGTCCTCAGTATTGGGAACTGTCACTTGAAGTAGTTAATTAGTATTATGTCAAGGTAGAGATTACCACACTGAGGACCTCCTGTCTTATAACCCAACCAACCTACACGTATTTTGGACCACATTTGTAGCCATTAATTATTTCCTGTTTATTCATCCATCCACTCTTTACTGCATTGACTCTTCATTTAGCTCAAAAAAGAGGATAGCAATTAACATGGTACTTGGTACACTACAGATTATATGGCTTTTGATTTGGATTTCAGATCAACTGCTAAGATAGGTTGAACTATAAGCAGTGAGTGGGATATGAAACACAAACCAAAGGAAGCCTAAGTAAACCCGTGCTGCTTGAGGTTTTCTGACGGATTAGTCTCTGCTTTAAACTAAGAGCACCTGATACCCATAGAGGAAAAATGGAGAAAGTCTCACCTACTTTCACTATGAGTAACATACCACAGTCGTTGCCACTTACTTCCTTCAAAGCAGTACTCTATAACATAGCCGTCTAACCCTGCAGCTCCGATGTGGTCTGGTGGCCTCCATTTCATTGTAACTGAGGTATCAGTCACTCCATCCACTGCCAGGAGAGTTGGTGGACTGGTAACAGCTGAAGCAAGCAGGCAGCAGGGAGAAGGCAGAAAACTGTTTCAGTTAAAGGTTTACATTTATGGTGTGTATTCCTCTAATTTAGCATCAGACATGACAGGCTAAATCCTGCCTACCAGGCATTTCCAGTCTTCGCTGGCACATCTTTCCCAATTAGGACCAAACTAGGAGAAGCAGGTACCTCACCCCATATCTGCTCATAGCCTAACCCAGAGTTAAATTCTTCCTGATGAGGAGTGAGAAGGACAAAGAGCGGTGGAAGGTAGAGCAGAGAAGTTGAGTAGTGTATTCTACAACAACAGGTATTTTCTGACAAGAGGCGAGCATGCTGTAGCAATAACAGCCACCTTCTTCCTCCTCTGCATTGTGAGATCTGCTGAGCAAGGTGGGAACTTTTTCTGGCCTACAGAAAAAGACACCTTTCTTTTACAGGGATTTGTGGTTGTCACAATAGTTTGAAAATCTGTTTCTTTATATTGAAATGCCACCAAATTAGTCTGTCACTAGGTGAATGACAAGGCCCTCTAGCTGTTACATTAATATAAAGCAATAAGGTGACATGTAGAATAGTATAAAGTATGACCTAGCCTAATCTGGATTGTCTACAAAAAGATATTGAAAATATGTGATCCCTTTCTGGGAAAAAAGCCCCTACTTCAGCTAACGGGGCTCCATGAGGCATAGAGTGAGATTATAGACTATTCAAATGTATCTTGTCATATGATTTATTGCAATATTGGACAAATTAACTTCATTTTTTCCATATATTTCTATCTTTATGATAGATTGCATACCATTGATTTTTTTTTTTTTTTTTTGAGATGAAAATGTATGCATTATTTGTGAATACTTGGACATTTTAAAATGGCAAGCTACTATGTAACAGTGAAACATCAAAGAAAGTCTCACTTTCACACAGTGCAGCCTGCAAAGAGTGATCTTTAGACTTCTGGTCACCTTTCCTGAACAATTTTGGCCAAAAGCCAGTGACGGACTAAACTTATGGCAGGAGAAAGACACACAAAACAACTAAGACTATAATCCATCAGGTTCATCAGTTCTCTAAATTGCCAGTTTAACTGACAACAGTTTCACTCTATTGACTCTGAGATACCTTTGATACACAAAATCATGGAACTATTAGTTCTGGTCCTTAAAACATACTGACCATAGTATTGGCTATATTAGGCTCACCTATAGCATGTCACTGTTTCATTGTATGGCACCATTTTTCTGTCTATACATCCCTGTTTCTTGTTTATAAAAAACTATAAATCCTTCAGGGATAAATGTATAGTTTATGCAGCACCTAATAAAGACAGGTCCTGAGCACGACAAGTGCAGCAAGAACTACAGTTATATAATTAGATGACTGTAATAATGTATTAATGATAATTCTCTAAATGCATACCTATCTCTATGCTTTTGATTACTTACCTAAAGGAACAAAAGACTTCGAAGGCATACTTGGTTTGGAACTGCCTATTGCATTAACAGCAAATACACGGACCTCATAAGCAACACCTTCAATCATCTTCTTTGGCTCAAAAGTTGTTTCTTTACACAGTTCAAAATTCAACCTCATCCACCTGGAACTTTGTTTCTTTTTCCTTTCAATGAAATATCCTGTTGACCGAACAAAACTTTATTATATTAAGTGGTGGCATAAAGCTCAATAGTGATGGTCTATTTTTTGATTACCCAATGGCATCTTTTCTGAATACACCTTATTATCCCCTTTTAGCCTCAGAGTGGTTCAGAATTATTGTTAAACTTTCCTAATGCAAGCTATCTAATAGGCATCTGTTTGGCTTTCACAGCCACATACAAGCTTTTTTCCAGACTTACAACACCACTGTATTTAGTTTAGAGTGAAAGCAGCCTGATTCTGCTGGCCTCTGGGCCCCTCTTGGTTCAGTGTATTAGAAGATAATTCCAATTTACTCAGTAAATTGTTTCTGAAATTCCTGCTAACATTCAAACAGGCTAGCTATTCAAAGTTTGGTATTATAACAGGTTGTCTTTCAAGTATGGAGATTGATAATGTGACAACATACAAAAAGCTCCGATCGTCCATTATTTAGGGTTTGTTTATTTTGTCCATGTTACAGCATCACCACAAAAAAAATAAAAGTATGTACCTAAGATGGGTGATCCACCATCATTTGCTGGAGGTTCCCAGGTCATAATACACCAGTCTTCACCCACCTCAGTCACATTTGGTGCCTGAGGAGGATCAGGGACATCTGTTGTAAACAAAGTAAGTATTATTATTTTAGAAATTCAAATAAATAAATAAATAAATATTTCTTCTTTCTTGCATAGGCTGAAATAAAAAATGTCAAATAAGAAACAAATCTGAATAGTTTTTGAAGTGCAACAAGAGTTCCTAATGACAGGAGAGAGAGAAAGATGATCTTTTTGGATCCTGGAAAGCGGTTAGGAAGGGATAAACGCCACGCTCTTCAGCACAGTTGAGAGGCACTTGGAGGCTTATGGTAAGACAGAGCCCTCAACCACGTGGAGAATGGACAACAGAGAGTGTTAAGGCAGCCTGAGGCAACTGCACAAGTTTGGCCCTTGCAGTGTGAGGTGGTAGGGAGGTGATAATTAACTCCTACTTAAATCCAATGCTAAGCTCCTGTGTCCTTCAGCAACACTGGACCTTAGTATCCTTGCACCTCAGTTCTACATCTGAAAATGGGGACAAACAGGGAAAAGGAAGTTTTCTGAGAATCTACAACAGTTTTGTATCTAGAGGAGACAGCATCTACAGAAGAGACCCTTCAGACACAGGAAAAGGAATTTGTCTTTTGTTGGGGTGCAGAAAAGTAGGGTTCTTCAAGGATCATTTACTGAAAAGGGCTGTGATAAAACACACAGCTCATGTGCACAGTTCCACAACTTACCAACCACTTTAATGTTGATTAGAGCTGTGTCTTCTCCAGCCTCATTCTTTAATGTTATTCTGAAAGGACCTGAATCTTCCCTCTCAGCTGTATCAATGACGAGACAACTGCTGTCTGAGTATGTTTCTGCCCGTATTCTTCCACTGTCTGTGATCCACTAGGAATCAAAGTAAGCAAAAGGAAAAGTCTTATTTTCTGGGTGTGAGAATCAAAATGCTCAAAAATAAAAATTCAAATGCAGTACAGGACACTGTCAAAATACTGGAGAAAAAACACACTAAAGCTCAGAATTTCAGTCATCTAGTCATCTAATGATCACAATAATGACAAAATAACTGAGGGACAAATAAATAACTGTAAAATATGGCAACTGTTTGGTACTCAGTTCAGCCATTGCATCTCAAAGGAAGAGGTGCTAGGCTTACTTGTCCTGGGAGCCAGAACGTGCTTTTGTCAACACTACCTTTCATTAATTAGATGAAAGGAAAGTAGTAGATATCCCAAAGTCAGATGAAAATTTAATTTGTTCAGTTTAGAGGTCAGAGTGATTGTAATGTCAGTACTTTGTCCTCACAGATTTCAAATGCTGGCACATATTTTGGAGTAAGAGCTCTCTAGAATAACTTCCTATTTGGACAAGTCTGCATTGGTGATACTACAATTAATATTTGGAAAATAGCAGTCAGAGATTTGATCAGAGAGGTCTAAGGAATCCAGTAATAACAACATGTTCCAGCTTCCACATACCACAGTGCAAATTTAAATGTGAAAAGCAGCTTTTTGATATGACACAGCCAGGAATTGATCTATGCAAAGTTTTACATTAAGACATCAAATGCAAGACACCAACTGTCCAGCCTATTGTTTCATTTGAGATTTGACACTCCATCAGAATTTATAATTAATTTTCCAAAACTAGACCATACTATGACTTCCTGTCAAAACCTGGCAGCCATTCTGGGCAGTATGTACAGAAGAAGTAGACCTTTATTAGATTTTCACTAGTTTTCTTCTGCATCTCGTAAGTCCCCCTCCTTTACAATTTATTTACAGCATAAACAATTTTTTTCCTTCGTTAATTTCAGCCTTTCCTCAAAAAAACTCAAAAGATACTAAATAATATTTATCCATTTTACCCTTCATTTTTGAGTCAGGAGTGATTTTTAGATAAAATGCATTATTTTCTGTCATTAAAATCAATGTCTTCACAAGGATAAAGGTTATTTTTTGAAGGGAAAGGCCCCTGGTTAAGCTAAGGAAACATGTATAATGACAATGTACCTTGTCCCCTTTGCTCCACATGACTTTTGGAGTTGGCTCACCAGTGATGGGGATCTCAAGTCGTAGTTTGCTTCCGGCCACTACTGTCACTGTGTTACCTTCCCCAAGACCATCCAGGTGGAGCTTAGGAGGATCTGAAAAAGGAGAGATTGTCCAAATTTGCCATGTGCCTGCCACTCTGAGATAATGTTCAGTGACCTTGCACAGGTCTGCAACATAGAGAAACATGCTCTCAGATTTATATTTTCCTGGTCTTTTTAGTCTACTGATTTGGCCAGGAAGGCCAACAGTATCCTGGAGTGCATTAAAAAGAGCATGGCCAGCAGGTTGAGGGAGGTTCTCCTCCCCCTCTACTCTACCCTGCTGAGGCCACATCTGGAGTACTGTGTCCAGTTCTGGGCTCCTTAGTTCAAGAAAGACAGGGATCTTCTGGAGAGAGTCCAGTGGAGGGCCACAAAGATGGTGAGGGGCCTGGAGCATCTGCCTTACGAGGAGAGGCTGAGAGATCTGGGACTCTTCAGCCTGGAGAAGACTGAGAGGGGATCTTATCAATGTCTATAAATACCCAAAGTGCGGGGTCCAAATGGATGGGGCCGGGCTCTTTTCGGTGGTGCCCAGTGACAGGACAAGGGACGATGGGCAAAAACTGGAACACAAAGTTCCGTACAAACCTAAGGAAAAACTTCTGTACTGTGAGGGTGACGGAGCACTGGAACAGGCTGCACAGAGAGGCTGTGGATTCTCCATCTCTGGAGATGTTCAAAACCCACCTGGATGCTTTCCTGTGCAACCTGCTCTAGGGAACCTGCTTTGGCAGGGGGTTTGGACTAGATAATGTCCTGAGGTCCCTTCCGACCCCTACCATTCTGTGATTCTGTGATTTTTTTTTGTTCAGAAGAAAATTAGTTAAGAAAATTTATTTTTAAGAAAATAGTTGTCTGATGAAAAATAAATCATGGCACCATAGAAATTTTGGAATAGTAGGACCATATTAAAAAAAAAAAAGTCTGTCTTCCTGAGGCAGAATTGTATTGATTTCCTCTAAGTGGCTCTTGAGAATTTCCATTGCAAGCTTTCTACAACACCTTTTACCACGCTTCAGACATCACTGCTCTGACAGTTTAAACATTTTCTTAACACAAATCCTTTTTCTGAAAATGAAATGGTCACTTTTATTGTACTCCATGTGTATGGAGAACAACTGATGAATACCCTCTTACAGCTTTTTTTAGTGTATTAGAAGTTATATTGGTGAGCATACCCCTCTAGTACTCTTTACCTCTTCATTCTCCCTAAACCTTGCCAATTCTTTTTCTCACACAGATATCCCACTTCTTGCAGCTTCAATCGCAGAACATATTTTCTAAAACTTTGTTCATTTAAATTGCTCTCTCTTTGACTTCCAAGTTGCTAGTTGCAGTTAAAAGCCAGCGATGTATTTTTGTGGGAAGAGTCAATGCCTTGTTTTGTTTTTGTTTGAAAGACTAGGATCATTAACAAGCCTTCTGTTTTGCTGAGTAAATAAAAGCTGTTCAAAATCATTTTGCTCTCTAGATATCATTTAATATATTTAGGGAATAGGTAAATATGTACTATTCTACTAATCTTTTACCAAACTAAATCACATTTTGCAATGTCAGCAAGCCAATTCTTCAAAGAGGCCAATACTATATATCTGAAAAGGACAGCAAATAGTGTTTTACGCAAGCTCGTAATAGCAGTTTAGGCTTAGAAATTCAACACCAAGAAGCCTTCTCTGGTAGCTCCCCCAGGCTTGTAAATTATGAGCAGATCCTGAGCACAGGCAAAGCGCTCTCTGACTAGATCACTTGCACTTTGCCAAAGCAGCAGGTCTCTTTTCTCTGGTAGGTGCCTGCTCAGAGGAAACAAACATTGAAATCAAAGATATTTCACACTGCTTTTAATTTCCAAAGGTCAGAGAAAGGCATGTTATTTATAAATCATTGTGCCATATACTTACCCACAACATGAACTTTGCATGGAATATTAATATTATATGCATCTGGTACAAACATGTATTCACCCTCATCATCAACAGCAGCACTTGCTATAACAAATCTATGGATTCTGTAAAAAATTTAAAAAGAAATAAATGTAAATTATTTTTGAAGACTGCTTGAAACTGTAAGGAAAAATCTGTGAAAGTTTAGATGTGTGCAAGTGTGTAAAATTACCAACTAAAAATCCTTTGCTGGCTGCTTAGTGTCATTTTAGGTGATTAAATACTGTGTGATTTTTACATTATATTATTAAGACAACCACAAAATAATGTAATCAATTCTAATATTTATTGTTGGAACACAGAAGTAGAAAAATACAGGAGTGCAAACTCTTTGACACAGGGATTCTGTGCTGTCACAATTAGATTGTAATTTGGTGTTCAAGAAGAAATCTTTAGATGATGCCATTGTGGAAATATCCTGACTTTTATTAGATCATCTTTGTGACAGGATCAAGTTTACTATATGTTTACCAGAATAAAGAAATGCGCAAGCAAAGCATCTGCTGCTCTCATTACCTAACTGCGTCTTCCACTACGATGATATTTTTGCTCTCCTATGACTTGCTGTGGCTAAGCTTTGTTCAAGGTAGGACTTACCTCTGTGACCTTCCTACTCTCCTTTCCCTCATCTCACCCTGTTGGCCTACATGGGTTCTGGGGAGCTCCTTCACTTTATGTCAAACCAAGGGGTCATTGCACACTGGCACTTGTCCCTCACTGCGACTTAGCAAGCATTACGGAGTCAACATAAACATTTTGTAGCCTGTTTAGGAGCATCTTCGCAAGTGCAGTTCCCAGCTGTATGAATGACCTGCTAAGCTCAAGTGAAGGGGATGTAGTTAAAGGTTGGATCAGGTTTTTTTGTTTTGTTTTTGGGTTTGTTTTTTTTTTTTAACCGACAAACTTTCCATGAGAAATGACAGATTATAAATGCAAAAGGACCTGATATCTCTGTGTACTTTGGATGGCAGAGATACATGTTCTGAGCTGACAGAAACAGAAGCTATCACAAAAACGGACATTTAAAAGCTATATATTTTTAATAACATCTAACAATAATTTTACTACTTCATTTCCCATACTAAGAGCAAAAGCAATATCCAGAAAAATTAATAGCTTGAATTTTGATGGATCAAGGATTTGATTATTGTTCTCCACGGCTAAAAGACACAAGGTGAACATGAGCAAGAAGACACGGCTTTTATGACAATAAAAATAAATATGTTTGAGGAACAGAGGTTAGGCTTGATTATCAGATTTTCAGTGAAGTAACCAACATATTGGCACATCTCTACAGTGTCATTCTGTCAAATGTCAAGTCAATGCACAACAGTCTTACCTTCCTTTGTGATAAAGCTTTACACGGTCACTAGCTTCAAGTAGTTGCCCATTTTTGTACCATTTCCCTTCCACATTCTCAGATATCTCACACTTCAGGTGGATTTCCTGTCCAAGCCTCACAGTCTGGTCTTCCAGTGCAAGTGATATCTTCAGAGGTCTCACTTAGCAAAACAGAAGCAGAGATATTAATGCTAATATCAAACAATAGCTCATGATTCTGTCATGGAGCTGCTACTAGCCATCACAATAGTCTTCAAATCATAAAAATGCCTCCAATAATGAACTTCTTAAGTTAAAATACCAGTAATACGTACATGTAAGCTACATAAATGACTATCTTTAATGTAGTCTGTTGCCTTAGGAAGGGTGATCCAAAACACCCATGCCCTGACTGGGGAACCTCCATGCACATTGCCAGTAGAATGACTAAGCCCAGGAGCATACTTTGAATGCTATCCCCTCTCTGGTGTTTAGGTGCTGGATGTAGGGTGTTTCTATCCCTTGGAGTCCAGAACAAAACTTTCAAAAAGTGAAAGACATGTCCCCAGGCCTATGCACTAGAAAGTATTACAACCCACCCTTCCTGTGATCTAACAGCGATCTAACTGCTCTCCCAGATGACATGAGATAATTTGGACACTTACTAATGTATTTTATCACAAGCGGGGACTGTAGTTCTCAACCTGTTTTGTCAGGCTGGTAGCAAAGGCTGACTGTCCAGTAAACTTAGCTTCATGCACTAGTTGTCATGTTTGCTAAACTGCCTTAACTCACCCTACGAATATCCACAGGTGTTACTAGCTTTTGTAAAATTTGAGTCTGAGAACCAGTCCCCTAGTTCACTTCCACATTCTGCAAGATTAGGTGCTGTAGACCAGAGTCCAAGCTGAACACACAGTACTATCTGTATGCAGTAAATATCCCTGACTGTAATCTGACATAGGAAAAAACGCAGTGGTTGATGGAGATCCAATTGGAAAATCCTCAGAAGAAGTTGTACGAAAGGAAAGATGACAGAGGTCAGTAGCCGTGGAGGGTAATTTCCAACTTGATAATAGAACAGCATGAATTGATTGTGCTTAAGATGCCAGTTTGCACAAAATAGTCAAAACAGGCTGAGTATTACAAAACAGTGTATGTTTATGCATAATGTCTGATAACTTTAGAGGATGGGCACATGCATTTTGCTAAAAAACACAGATGTTTTAAAGAGATACAATACTGAGGGAGCTACACAGTCATGTGTTAGGGCCTATGAGTTCAGGTCAAGCGACCTTGGTGCCTGTTCACATTATGCCTGCTTATGAACTGCTTATTTTTTCCAACATACTTTTTTTTTTTTCTGATTTTGGTTAAAAAGCCTTGGTTTGGCTTTCCTGTGAAAAGCTGAAAGAGTTAAAGAAAAGCAGATACTTCCTCTGAAAATTTCACTTAATTGACCTATTATATCTTTAGATGGGTAACATTGTTTTCCATTTCAGTTGAGCGACAGAAAGTTTTCAAGCAGGACTTGTTCATTGCCTGTTACTGCAAACAGTGTCTAAAGGAAAGTCACTGTTCTGGAGATTTGCAGCAAAGAAATTGGTATGGAAGTTAAGTCTCCCTTTAAACTCCCAGGAAAAGGCAAGCAGAGTATTTATTTCTGTAAGCTAGTAAACTGTGGCATGCAAATTCAAGAGCAAGATGGATGATACTTACAATCAACCTTAAGCTTAGCTTCTGATTGGCCTCCAGTTGTCATTACTGAGTAAGTTGCATTGTCATTTTTTGCAGCTTCCTCTATGATCAAAGTGTGTTTTTTGCCCTCAACCTTGATTCGATACCGAGAATTAGGTTCATTGGGAAGTTCTACACCATTCTTAAACCTAAAGACAAAGAATTATTATTTTTCCAATAGAAGTCCTGTGCAAATAAGACTCTCACAGACTGCGACTTCCAGAGAAGACTTTATAAGATTTAAGGAACAAGAAAAGGTTTAACAAACTCATCCATGAATGTGTAAGGATATTTTTGCTGTTGCTATAATTTTGAATAATGTTTTCTTGAGATTTTCTTAACAATGTTTGGGTTTACTGATATAGAAAGAGCTGTCTACATTTTTGCCTGCAATTGAAATATTCTGGGTTTTATTCTCAAGGAAAACGTTATTTGTTTGAAATGTGGCTTACCATTTCACATTTGCATCATCCTCAGACACTTCACAGCTCAGTTCTACTCGTTCACCAACATAGGTACTGGTATCCTCCAAGCCTTTGGTCACCAAAATTGGAGGATCTTTGGAAAGAAAAAAAATACAGAATTACAATCTGAGAGAGAAAACAGTGAAAGAGGTTTTCAAAATCATGTTATGGAAGATCATACTATTTTAAAATTCTAGTATCAGTCTCAGTGCAACTTTTTTGCCTTAAGTCAGAAAAAATGATTGCTCATCAAGAGCTAGTAAGAAATGTGCTAAATAAAAAAATAAACTTGTTCAGATTAATACCTGCCTTGCATCCCATTTTATTGACAGTTTGTCCAGGCAGGTCAACATAAGCTGTCATTCCCCTCTTGCCTTCCCACAGATTTCTCTCATAAAGCTGCATTTTTATTGGTCTTACAGCTTGTTATGCACAACAAGATGACCTGATTACATTATTCAGTGCCCTTATTGGTTTAACTCATTCC